TGTCGAAATTTATAAAGGGAACTAATTGCTTTAAAAACAAGAATAGTAAAATACCACCACCTAAGAAGCCAGAAAATTACTGCTATGGCGATGCAAATAATGCGGTAAAACAAAAAGTGCCATCCAATCTAACCTACCTACACACGCATTAAATATATATGCACTTGTCTACACATCAAACATCATGTGATAGATACTAACGTCAAGGGAATATATATATATATTGAACAATTCTATAACCTTAATAGTTGAAAAATCGGAATGTAATGTGTTTTCGTGGTAGTGGTTTCACTTTCGTTTTCATTTTTTCATCATTGGTGCACCCTATGTGTGTACGTGTGTGCACATTAACGTCGTCTTGGAAAAGTCGAATAAATTAATCATTTTTTTGCCGACATTTTATCTGTCTTTCAACTTTTATTTTTTTTAATGATATGATTATGAGGTGTAATAAAATTGCGCTTGAAACGACGGTATCGTATAAATTAATTATACTGTCTGTATCACTGTGTGTATGTTTCTGTCTGTCTGTTTCCGACATAGAACTTTGCACATATGTGCGGCAGTTCAAGTCGCCACACTCCTTCCATATACCACACAAAACAAGAGAAGAAAGTACAAGAAAGGCATAATAGAGATAGTAAACAGAGGTGTGGGACAAAGGAATAGTAGTAACGAAGATCAACATAGTTTAATTGGAAATCATAAGTCACATGGAGTGGATGCATCTACGCCACTGAGAACGATTTTGAGCCATATCACCAATTGTTTCCAACCATTTGTTTTTACCGTCACGAGGACACCAACCAATCAGGAAGTCTACACCTTCGTACATGGCTTAGACTAACTGTTGTAGATTTCATTGACTGATGAAGCCATGTTTTTGTTTGACATCCACTAGCTCTTTTCCAGCCTGACCCTGTATCCGCTAACACTGCTCGTCGAGGAAGGCGATGACTAGACATACGCGCGTAACACATGTCCTAACCATCTCAGTCTTTGTAACTTCACAACTTCGTCGATTGATTTCCCCTGTTTACCTAGCACTTACTCGACGCCTAACCTCAATATTGCTCACCTTATTATGCCACTTCACACGGGAGATAGAACGCAGTCACCTATGATCAAAGACAGCTAATCTTTTCATGTCTTCCAATCTCAATGGCCAGGTCTCACAGCCAGCCATAAAGGAGGACGGAGCGGAGTGCTGAGCAGTACACCCGCCCTTTGGTCGATAGTCGAATATCTCGTCTACTAAGCCAGAGACGGCGTAAACTGGCAAATGCGAAACGAGCCCCTTGTATCCGTGCTGAGATTTCGTCAGAGATCAACCCGTTGGGGTTGGTGTCTGTGTTTTTTCTGATGGAATTGTACAGTGCTTGAATTATCTTCTTATATCTCTATCCGTGTCAAAATCATTGTTATTAAAGATGCGCGAGGGATTACTGCTCGGAAGCCCAGACCGAAGCAGGTATGGACCCACACCCTGTCCCTTTCTGGCGAGCATTTGACTTGTAGGGATTCATCTATCACACCCATCATCAGCAACCGCCCCCCCCCAGATGGATTGATATCAAAACACAGGGGGGGGGAACCCGAACGGGAAGCGGCGAGTTTGTCTTCAGTGTGAGGGTGACATGGAGGAGGTCATGTGAAGAGGAGATGAAAGCAGATAACCGAACGCAATGGAGACGTACAGCTGAAGCCCTATGTTCCTTTAGGAACTAAAGGAAATAATAATAATAATTTTGCGGTGATTGTACAGAAACCGTTGTTTCATCCAAAGCTTTAGAACTCATCAACAGTGTAGATGCATAACCCTCTCTAATGATCATTCAATACATATATTATCTTCCTTAATTTTCAATTAGTGGTATCTAATTACTAATATTGGTCAACTAGTAGTATATAGCTTGCTTTATTGATCGTCATTTATATAGTATCACATGCCATTGTGTGATTTGAATAACTGAAACTGTGAAAATTGTGAATTTTATCCTTTGACCTAAATTTATTTCACAGTAAAAACGAAAAACAAACTGTCAATCAAAACTGAACTGAATTTGTAAAGTAGAAGTTTACATTAAAAAAAAGTACAGCAGTTTAAATTGTCACAACACTTCTTCATATAATGCACATATTTAAATGTAGAGAAAAGAAAAGTAGAAGTTCCAGGATTTCACCATAAGCTGACATTGGTTGAAGAACCAGCTGAGAGCATTGGACAGATGTTTCCTCAGCCTAGTTTGGAATTCTTCACACCACGCACCCACACCGTGGGGTTCGAACCGAGGAGCTTTCAGTTATAAGGTGAACTCGTAGACCGTTCAGCAACTGGTTGGAAACTTGACCTGTGGGACACAGCAGGTCGGGTGTCAGGACAAAACTCACCACGGATGACATTGACTGGCGGAGTTGCGCTATATCGTGAATTGGCAGTAGTTGGAATTCATGAACCATCGGTGTATGGGCTCGTCTGGTAACTGGAAGGTCCCGGGTTTGAACCCCACAGTATGGGTGTGTGCTATAAAGAATCCCAAATTAGGACGAAAAAGCTGTCTATCAGTTTTCTAATGGTTCTCTAAGATGTCCTGTTACCAACCAAATCCCTACAAGCCAACACTTGAAAAACAAGTTCAGTCAAATTATTAATAAGTAGAAATTCGAAAAAGAATTTAATGAATATGTAAGACTACAAAGATTGAATGCATCTCGCTTCATTGAAAACTACTTTGATCTATGTCATCATAAGTTCTGATCTGCTGATTCGTAGGGTCTCGGGATCCACAGTCTTGGCATTCTACACCTCCCTACATGAGTAGCTTCAAAAACAGTCAAAGACTTGATGAATTATTATTATTATTATGTTTTCATTTGACCACGGTTGACTGTTTCTCAACGGAATCCTATCTTAGCTGACATTGTTCGATAAAGATGTTGATGACTTGGCATGCATAACACACGTCTCACAGCTATCTTAATGGACACAGCTTCACAACCTTCTTGCCTAACACTATGCCTAAAAACTCATTATTACCACCTAACACAAGAAATCGAAACACACTGAACTTTATTCAAGTGTTGGTTTGTAGGAATTTGGTTGATTGGTTACAGGATTTCATCATTAGCTGACATTAGTTAGAGAACCATTGGAAAACCAGTCAGGGAGTACTGGACAACCGTTTCGTCCTATTTTGGGACTCTTCATCAGTAAGCACCCACCGCAACTGGGTTCGAACCCAGGACCTTCTGGTTACAAGGCTAGCGAACTAGTAGACCATTAAGCCACCGGGACCCGATCCAATAGCCAACCCATGATTTCTACCTTCTGCCAATTCACGACATAACGCCACCCCTAGCCATTGTCTTCGGTGGCGATTATTTGTCCTCACACCCGACTTGCTGTACCCTACTGGTCACGACTTCTCACTAGAACTCCAGATAACTACCTGCCTGAATAGGGCGATTCGCTAGTGAGCATCTCATCGATATTCAAGTGTTGGTTTGTAGGGATTTGATTGGTTGTGTGTCCTGACCCAGTAGAGTGCAGAAGGTCAGGTGTGTGGACAAATATTCTCCGAAGACATTGGCTAGGGGTCGCGCTATGTCGTGAATTCGGATTGAGTAATAGAGAGGTTTCGTGTGCATTTCGGATTGTGAGGGCGATTGTTACTTCCCGGCTGCCCACACCGTGGAAGTTGGTTGCGTGACCGCAGAGCCAAGGGGACAACTGCTTGAGGCCGGTCACACGCGGCCTGTTTTTGTTCGTTCTTTTTTGTTTGGTGTGTCTCAGTAGCAGATTTATCACTCCTGCCCTGTGACACGGCAGCAGGAAGCGCGGTCGTTGTTAATCCGGGCCACGGCCGATCCGGCATGAAATTTTGTGATTTTGTATTGGACATGTTGTTGGATTGGGTAGCTGCTTTTTGTTTAACCGCTATCCAAACAACCTGCCTGGCATGGTAGTACCTCAAGAGACATAAGTCTCAGCCAGTATAGCTTGAATAGATCATTGCGGTGTTCAAGCCCGACCACCACGTCAAGGTAGCAGCTTTCGGTCGGGATGTCGTGAATTGGTAGAAGTCAGAATTCATGGGCCATTAGATTGGGTTCCGGTAGCCGCCGAATGGTATATCAGCTCGCCTTGTAACCAGAATATCCTGGGTTCGAACTGGTTGTGGTGGGTGCGTACTAATGAAGAGTCCCAAACTAGGAAGGAAACAGCTATCCAGTACTCCACTACTAGTTTTCCAATGTTTCTCTAACCAATGTCAGCTTATGATGAAATCTTGTAACTAATCAATCAAATCCCTACAAACCAATACTGGTATAACATATTTTCATTTGACCCACCCCTAGCTCTTTTCCAGCATAATCCCATCTCATCTCACATTGTTCAACAAAGAATTTGATGGCTTAGCATGCATAACACACGTGTCACAGCTATCTTAATCGATTAACTAACCCTCCTTCCGTAACACTATGCCCAAAAGCTCATTATTACCACCATCTGACACAAGAAATCAAAACACACAGAGATCTTTAGTCAAATAACGACTAATATCATCCTATCTTCTACCTTTACTGATCATGTCTAGAGAAGTACTGAGTGCAATGGTGCGCAGCAGGTCGGGTGTGAGGACAAATAATCGCCACCGAAGACATTGGCTATTGGTCGCGCTATGTCGTGAATTGGCAGAAGTTGGAATTCATGGACGATTGGATCAGGTCGGGTCCCAGTGGCCCAGTGGTCTACGAGCTCGCCAGCCTTGTAACCAGAATGTCCTGGGTTCGAATCCTGGTGATTGGTGCGTACCGCCGAAGCAGAGCCCCAAACTAGGAAGGAAACAGCTGTCCAGTACTCCCTGTGGCTGGTTTTCCAATGGTTCTCTAACTAATGTCAGCTCATGATGAAATCCTGTAACCAATCAATTAAATCCTTACAAACCAACACTTGAATATCTATTCTACTTTCTTTTTTTATTCTTCTCTTATTTCAGATGGTGTTGGATACATCAAGAAATTTTCATCATTATCGTACACTGATATCAAGTAATAATGTTTCTGCACCAATGTTACCCTATCTACCATTAGTACTAAAAGATTTAACATTCATCCATCTGGGTAATCCATCACGTACACCCGATGGATTAATCAACTTCGTGAAGTTACGCATGCTTGCTAAAGAGGTGAGTTGGTCCTAGCTAGTTAGTTAGTTAGTCAGGCCTTTTTTTATTGTTGTTATTATTGCTAATCTGAATATTACTCAACTTGTGCTTATTCATTCTAATGCCTACTAATCAAAATAATTCAATCAATTTTGTTTTTATGTTGTTGTTGTTGTTGTTTTTTCATTTTGCAGTTTTACTGTTGTCACACACACACACATATGATGACACATGTGACTCTTTGTGGGTTGGATTATTATTATTATTATCACATTTTTACCAATTACTATTCTGAAAATTACTCCAATTGAGTGGCATATGTTGATTTTTCTTCTTAGAGATGACAACACGCTACATTCATATTGACTTAAATACTCTTCTATATGATGACACATGTATATGCGTTCATTCTATGCCGTATCTGACTGACTGGCTTCAACGTAGAACTTTGCACTGATGCGTGCAGCAGTTCGAGTCGCCACACTCCCTCCGTGTGGCACACAAAACAAGAGAAGAAAGTAAAAAGAATAGAAATAGCGAAGAACAATATAGTTTTATTCAGTATTATAAATTGCAAGGAGTAGATGCATCTGCGCCAGCCATCAGTGAGAACGAGGGATTCTGAGCCATATCACTGATTGTCTCCAGCTTTCATTGGTTATAACCGTCCTGAGGCTGTGAAGTTACACCGATTGAGATGGTTAGGACATGTGTTACGCACGCCTAGTCTAGCCATTGCCTTCCTCTACTGACAGGCAATGTTAGCTGCCAACATAGGGTCAGGCTGGAAAAGAGCTAGCTAGCTAGTGGTGGTCAAACCAAAACATGGCCTCACAAGTCAATGAAATCCACAACAGTTAGTTTAAGCCAGTCAGCCACGTAGGAAGGTGTAGACTTTCTGACTGGTTGGGGTCCTCGGGACGGTAAAAACCAATGGTGGCTGGAAACAATTGGTGATATGGCTCAAACTCATCGTTCTCAATGGCTGGTGCAGATGCATCCACTCCTTGTGACTTATGATTACCAATGAAACTATAGTGTTCTTCGTTATTACTATTCCTTTGTCTCATCTCACACCTCTGTTTACTGTCTCTATTATGCATTTCTTCTACTTTCTTCTTTTCATTTGTGTGCTACAGGGAGGGAGTGTGGCGACTTGAACTGGTGCACATCGGTGCAAAGTTCTATGTCGAAAAAGGACAGACAGACCGTCCCGAGGACCTCACTTAGGAAGTCTACACCTTCTACGTGGCCTAAACTAACTGTTATGGATTTCATTGACTGATGAAGCCATGTTTTGTTTTGACCACCACTGGCTAACTCTTTTGCAACCTGATCAATCCTATATCAGCTAACATTGGCCGTCTGTCGAGGAAGGCGATGGTTAGACTAGGCATGCGTAACACATGTCCTAACCACCTCAGTCAGTGTAACTTCACAACCTCGCCTATTGATTTCCCCTCCAACTCACCTACCTAGCACTCGACTGAAGCCTAACCTCAATATTACTCACCCTGTTATACCACTTTACACGGGAGATAGAATGCAGACATCTAGGCTCAAAGACAGCTGGCTAGGCGCTTCATGTCTTCCATTTTCAATGGCCATGTCTCACTCGCAGAGATAAAGGAAGATAGAGAGAACCTCTGAGCATGTACACGTTCTTTGATCGATGGACAGCCGGATATCACGTCTACTAAACCAGAGATGGTGTAAGGTGGCAGGCTTATGCCGAACGAGTCTTCTGTATTCTTTACTATTAAAGAGGATAGAATTGTCAGATTATCCGAATAATACACAGGGCGAGTCTTGAAATGTTTACCACATCCAAGGACGGCAGTGGAAACTAAAACTACCCACTCCGCCCCGACGGGAAGGTAGTGACGATAAGTGTGAATACGGGACTCAATCTAAACTCCTTAATCAGTATGATTACGATTTAATTCCTCTAATATAACTCTGGCACTCAGAATTCGCTCTCCAACCATTCCTCCTTAAAGCTACTGCAGTTAAAAATTTCATAGCTGAATCTTGGTAGTGTGGTTGCATACCGTTGCCTGTCTGGTTTTTCTTACAACTAGGACTTGTGCTCAACTCAGTGCAGCCGCTATTCACAGCCTTGCATCGTATCTGTGTAAATAGATGTTTATAGAGACACAAATGCCTTTAACTGGATGTCAGAGGTGGACAACATCTTCAATGTATTTACATGGAGCAGAATGCTGGTGTGATGATAGGCAGCTGTGGTATTCATAGCTTTCGACTTGGAACTTCGATAGGATCGGTTTCTGAACTCCGGTCGGCGAATCTTCTTACAGTTTAGTGTTCAATGATGTAGCGTTGTCGGCATTTATTGTGTTTGTATGGGCATGACTTTACGTAGTGCAAACATGCTGAAGGCGGATTCTCCTGTGAACAATGCGGTGAGTTTGAGTTCGACAGTATCGAATGCCATTGCAATTACTCTCGCTACATTGTGGCTGCCAGAGTGGTTCAAGGTGGTATGTCTGGGAAGGTTGGTTAATCGCTGATATTCTTCTCCAATGTCTTTCAACGTCATTTTCGGGTCTTGTTCAGGTTTAATCAACAAGCGTGTTCCTCTATTGGGAAACTTGGAAGACTGTAAAGCAGAAATGAAGATAAAGGCTTTAAACTGATCTTTTTTCGTTCATATTGTTGGTTAACAATGCCCAGCTTAGTGTGAATGTCATCAGTTCCATATTTAGCGCCAGTTTCATGCAATAGTAACATATGTCAAACAACGATCTGTGGTCATCAAACTGCTGTCCAGGTGTTTGGATGGCTTCGTCGAGGATGTTCTGTCACTGGACTGTGGAGGGAGAATCAGGTTGCAGTATTTGTCCAACTCATCTACACGCAACATCCTAGACATTGTCTTCGCTCTGAAACTCCCCTCTAAATAGGTTTTCGTATCTATGGAACCAAGTATTAAATGTAGTGCTTGCTTCTGGGTCTTAAATAAATTCCAATATTACGTCACTGACTGGAAGTGAATCGGCAGGGTGTGAAATCCGTACACCAGCAAGCAACCGCATTATTTTTAGCTGCTGCTTCACCAATTTCTCTAAGTGTTTAAGGTCCATTTCCATGTATCCGTCGCCAAATTTGATATGATTATCAATACAACCTGGTGGTCTACGAGTCGCTTGCGGTAACAAACTTTCTTACATACAACAACCACCACGACACGATACCACTGACACGTGAGAGAGAAAGAAAGAAAGAAGACCAACCGTTGACAGGAGAGCGTTTACTGCCTCGAATCAACAGCTTTACAGTCCTCTTTAACGGACTCTAATATTTATTTATCATAAACTCTCATCTGCTCACACGATCTCCTTCATGTTACCCTCGGATACCTAACTGGCTGTTTCCCATTTGGGTCCCACTCGAGAGCATGGCTCGTGATGTGTCACTCAGCGATCGTCTTAGCTTGTGTCCTATCCATCTCCGTTTTCTTCGGCCTATTTGTTGAACAATAGGTTCTTGACACCTTCATTCCCAAAGTTCCTTGTTGGGGGTAATCCTTTCCACCCAGCTAATCATTGATCTTCAGTATGGTGTGAAAGTAGCTGTTAATATATATACATCGGCAGTGGGTTGTTGAAATGTTTTCTGTGAGATGCACTAAGAATCTGGACAATAAAGAATACATTTCCACACTGGTTCTGGAGTGATAAAGGTCTGTCTATTTTCCTATTCCTGCCAACCAGCTTTGACATCCTCATCTGTGTGCTGTCAGTTAGCTGGAACTATGAATGCCCATATAGGTGAAACTTACTTTACTTTACTTCGGCTATCTCCTACGGGAGGATGAGGCGGCTTCATGAACCATGAAGTTTCATGGGAATTGGGTACGAGTGATGTCCCCAGAATCGCTCGGCCTTTTGTTTGAGAGTGCAGCTCTAGCCTTTACACAACCAAGTGTGACCTACAAGGCAGTAGGAGTGGAGTAGGGAGTCCACTATCCATTGGAAGCCGGTGACCGGAGTCCGGTTCATTCGCCTTTTTGAATGGGGCCAGTTATCCAGGGCATCCAATAAGCCCTTTGTCCATACGTCTGCCGGTGAGCTTCATACGCCAGTCATTGGAGGTTTGGAATCAGGGTTTAGCCATCTCCCCTAGACTGTCATCCAATGGACAGTCAACTCGGTGAAGAGCGCCGGGCATCCGCTTTTGCCCCCTCACTTTGGTGAAAAACACCTCCGCCACGTGAAGGCAGTGAGTAGGACTTACTCAGGAGAGGCTATGTAAGACGCCCGGTCATATGGGAGCATTTCAAGAGGTGTACGGAGGGGTGGTCAACCTGCAGCGCAAGACACTCATCCCCGACCATCCTGAGGCTTTGGAGGCATATAGGTGAAATGAATCACCTCATTGTTGTGGCTTGGTTATCTTCATCTTCACCTCCGTCTTCTCTATGTTCACTTGACGTCCTGTCTTCGCTGTCTGCTTCTTCTCTGCAAAGGTGTGTTGGTTCTCGCCTGTGTAAGCGTTCGAACATGAAATGTCCGTGAAGTGCGCAGATCTTCTAGAGTCTTCTTATCGGTTCAACGTATTGTTGTCTTCTTGCTCCCCACAATGTGCCACATAATCCAGTCCACCACAATTAGGAATATCATCGGTGATAGTAGGCTGGCTAGCAGCAACCTTGTTTTACTCTCCTGTCTTCACCTCAAGGGCTTCTCTGAGTTTTTCATTGTGAATTTTTTAACCTGTGACATCGCCATACAACACTGTTGAATTTGGGACACTCCATCGTCTTGAAGTAGTTTCTAAATTGCTTCGTGATCAACGCTGTCTCTAAGGCCTTTTCAAAGGTAATGAAGTTGTGGTAGAGAAAGGTTTGACTGCCATTCTGAGCTTTGTTCGATGATGATGATGATGATGCATAGAGTTGCGATTTGATCCACACACGATTTGCTTTTCCCGAATCCAGCTTGTTCTTCCGGGTGGCGGAGTTCTTACACATCTAATGCTTCTTTTATTCTCTTCAAGAA